GGTTCATTATTATTCTGTCCTTATTTAGGTTTCTTTTATTTTTTTGGATCTTGTCCCATACTGATCTCATCTGCTTTACTAGCTTCTCTCTCCGGAGAGAGCTGCCCCTTCAATGGGACAGTGTCTGTGAGCCCTCTGCTCCTGGGAGGTAGCACACAGTGAACACAGCAGACTCCTGTCCACAGAACATCTTCTTTCTGTCCTTTTAGGTCTCACATATTTGTTCTTTAGAGCCCAGGAATTGCTGGAGACTTTTTCTGGCCAGGGAAACCATCTTCTTCACACAGATATCAGTTTCGAACTCTTGCTGCTATGATGGTTCCCTGCAGACAGGGCATTGGCTGGAGTTTGGGCTCCTTCCCAGGAAAGACAAAGGCAGGGCCTACAAAAGCTGTGTCCACAACCTATGGTAACTGGGTCTACAAGGTAGTTCAGGCAGATGAGGCAGGTGAGTTCTCTCTGGAAGTCTTGTGGAATGTCTGAGTCCATTTTTCAAAGGACTGTGATCCTTATCTAGTCCTTTGACTAGATACCTAGTGGTATCTATGATCCCACCAAAGCTTGCTGGAGAAGTAATGTGAAGTCTGATTAGGATCAGCACTTCACAGTGTCAGAAGTCTCTGAGGCCAAATGAACTCCAAACTTCATGCTGCCTGTTACAGAGAAGAATCTCTGCATGTAGTTTTAATCAGCCTTTAAAATTTGAAATCTTAATAGACAAAACTTAAAGATCAGGGCTGTGTTTGATTTCATACGAATTTTTACATCTGAGCACACTATCTAGAGCCTAATGTTGGAATAAATGGGTAAATGAAAGAGCAAAATAGGCTTTCAAAAAGCCTATTATGAAAAAGGCTCTTCTGCATCTAGATTTTATCTTTGATTTTTTTCATCAGTAGTGATTTTTTGGTCACATAATCTGAATTTCATACTTGAATACACAGAAACGTTTAGATTCCCAAAATGACAATAACTCAGATTTGGGAGGGGAACTATACTGACTTTAAAAACTTGGGTCAGTGGAATATACCTGAGTGCCCTAGAAAACATTACAGGGGTAGTCTATGAAGAAACAATATTTGGAAGAAGACAACGTGGAGAGTTTAAAGCTGTTCATGAAGCTTGATTAAGCTTTGAGAACAGCCAAAGCTCAGTGCAAGAATTGAGCTCTATTTTTATTACCAACCCACTGGTCTGTTCATGTTAGTGAAGGACAGAAAGAGAACTCAGCTGTAGATCTCTTATCTCCTTTGTTTTTTTATACCCAATTGGTAGTTGAAAAATCTGGAGTCAAGTAGTAAGGAAGAATATAACATACTAATTGGTTAAGGTAGGAGACCCTCTGGACTTTTATTTTCTGTAGACTGATTTGCCATAGCCTAATAACAAGACATTCATATGACATATCCCTTTTGTTAAATCTTAAAAGTAATAGTTAACATAAGGTTATTTTATTAGTATCTAGAAGGCCAAGTAACATATTTTTGAGTCTTATTAACTGGAAAACCAACTATAGAAAAACATGTAATTTATTAAAGCAACTTGCAAATGGCAAACAAGATAGCAGGTCTCTGGGGTTTTTTGGTTTTTTTTTTTTTTTTTTGCAGTTTTTGTCCAGGGCTGGGTTTGAACCCGCCACCTCTTGCATATGGGACTGGCGCCCTACTCCTTTGAGCCATAGGCGCTGCCCATCTCTGGGTTTTAAGAAAGGTAACATTTTTATGCTAAAGGAAAACTTGCCTAGTGCCAGTAAGAAACTGTAATATTACCAGAAAAGAATTTAAGGAACAGTGGTTTACTTTTATTTTTTCAAAGATTATCAGAAACATTGTGTTTTAACAAATGTTTAAATTCTTTAGGGCTAAGTAGATAATAAAAATGAGAAAACCACATTGAATTACTAGGATTTCTGTTTTTACAAATTTAGATGCCCTTTTCATCACTGGTTCTTAATTTGAGTTGTGGGATGTGACTCCATGTTGGAAAATCCTGCCACAGTAGTTACATTTTCCTCAGACCATTCCTCTTCTTTATTAAAAAAAAAAATAAAATTATGGGCGGTGCCTGTGGCTCAAAGGAGTAGGGCACCAGCCCCATATGCTGATGGTGGCGGGTTCAAACCCAGCCCGGGCCAAAAACTGCAAAAAATATATATATATTTTATAGAATGTGGCATTGCATCCCTGAGCTAGAGGAGAAATCTGTTCACAATGGTTACTTGTGAATTTTGTTTTTTAAAAGATGTTAGATATTAAAACAAAACCTACCAAAATACTGTCAAATGGAACATAAAAATATTCAGTTTTATTTTGACAAGATAAAGTTAGTGGAGAATCCGTGAACAAGCATTAGAGAACATGATAAAAATGTGAAAAGAGGAAGGATGTTTGGCAGAAGGGGGAAGGGCATGAGGCGGGATCACACTTAAGTGCACATTGTGAGGGTGTATAACATGCCCTCTAGGTCAGGGGCTCTTCTACAAATGGAACTTCACCCTGGAAGTGAGAACAATGTAACCTAAAAATTGTACCCTCATATTAATTTGAAAAAATAAACTCAAAATGTGAAAAGAAAAAATTAAAAAATAATCTGGTTCTCTCTCTGTGTCTTCATGAGAGGAACCCACTTCCAACTCTTTAGAAGTGCTCTAAACTTTCTCTTTGTTCTTAAATAAAATTTGTCTTTGTTACATTCAAAAATCTTTTAAAAACCCTTATCCTAAGAAGTTTTTTTATTAATTGTATATTGCTAATTCTGATTAAGTATTTAAAAAATATGAACATTTCTGTAGGACTTTATATTTGTGATCTTCTCACCTTATACCACTTCCTCCCTCCTTTCTACCACCCCCCAAATCCTAATTATAACCTTTGTTATCGACCCTATTTTGATGTAGATAACACAGGTGCAGTGTTAGGAAACAAGACTTTCTGAATCTGGGTTCTTCTCAATTTTATTTGGCATATATATTGAGCATCTGCTTGTATGTCACTAAATCAAGTATAAGACCAAAAAAAAAAATAGGTTATTTACCTAAATTTTAGTTGAATTCAGATCTCAATTTCTGCTTGTAGATATTACTTAGACCCTTTGGGAAGGATTAAGATCTTTTTATATGGTTAGAAAAAAATTCAGTTGAAGTTTTATATAGCCAGAATATTTTATTTCAGTCTTAGCACTTCAGAGATTATTATTTGTTAGTTTACCAATTTATTATTTATTTTTCCCACTAAATTTTAAGCTGAGAGCAAGGACTATAACTTCTTACATTATATTTTTAATGTTTTGCACAGAGACTATTCAGTAGATATTAATTTATTAAAGATAGAAATAAGAAAATGAATGCTAGTTTTTATTCCTAGACATTTGCCTGTTACAGACAGTGCTTAGCATATTTTTTATATATATATATATAGTGCTTAATAAGTATGTGTTTAATACACCTGTAATCCTAGCACTTTGAGACTGGTGGATTCCTTAAGCTCAAGAGTTCAAGACCAACCTGAGCAAGAGCAAGACCCATCTCTAAAAATAGCCTGGTGTTGTGTCAGGTGCCTATAGTCCCAGCTACTAGGGAGGCTGAAGCAAGAGGATCGCTTGAGCCCAAAAATTTGAGGTTGCTGTGAGGTATGATGTCATGGCACTCTACCAAGGGTGACAAAGTGAGACTGTCTCAAAAAAAGAAAAAGTATGTGTTTAATGAACAAAACTGAAGAGTTACCTTCCAAAGTGATAATATATGACTTACAATATGATCATTAACACTCTGGTAGATAGAATTTTATAGGTTTTATTATGCTTTTGTAAAAGATGAAGAATCTGAGACTCCAAAAGCTTAGTAACACACTGAAGTTTAGTTTTATTATTGTGGACATCTTATCTCTGACCTTTTTGAGTTTTTTTAAACTATGAAACATATGTGTTTTTCTTGTACTTTTTTTTTATAGTCTGACAGCTGCTAGTTATCTTATTCTGAATAAATTTAAGTTCTAATCCTCAGTTTGTTCATGTGTAAAAATGAACCAGCTCTAGACTAGGCAATTTTTTTTTGTTTTGTTTTTAATAGAAACAGGGCCTCTTGATGTTGCCCAGGTTTGTCTCAAAGTCCTGTGCTAAAGGGATCCTCCCATTTGAGCCTCCCAAATTTCTGAGATTACAGGCGTGAGCCACCACGCCCAGCTTAGATTAGGTGATTTCTAAAGTCTGTTGTGATTTTTAAAGTCACTTGCTAAATGCCTTCTTAGCAATTTAAGAATATTACTTTTAAAGTAATTTGTAGTGCATTGTTGGTTAAATTAATTTTCTGTTGTTTTACTTCCTCATTAGCAGTGCTCATTAAGAAATATACTTTTCATTAATTTTTTCAACCACATGTACGTGTGCTATGAGGTCTGATTAAGTTCATGAACTCATCCTAGAAAAAGTGCTGTGTTTCTCATTGCTGAATATCACTACAGACACCAGTGCCTATTCTACCCTTCAAAGCAATTGTGGAGCTCTTTCTGGAACGGCCATCAAAGCTGTCATTGTGTTACCCTTGATGTCCTGAATGTCATCAAAATGCCTTTTTTTTGAATATTTCTTTTATCTTTGGGTAAAGAAAAAATTCATTGGGGGCCAGATAAGGTGAGTAGGAGCATGTTCCAGTACAGTTATTTGTTTACTGGCTAAAAACTCCCTCATGTTCACTGACGTGTGAGCTGGTGCACTGATTGTTGTGATTCAAGAGCTGTGAGTTGGCCAAGATTTTCAGTTAAGATTTTCCTATTTATCATTGTTTACTTGGTCTGCTATGTTCCTTACAGTCAGCTAGCAGTTTTTGAAATTGTGATGCACAGTTTGACAAATTTTTGCACTGTTTTTGTCAGTTCTGTTCATTACTGGCTGCCCTGATCTCTTTTCATCAGTGACACTTTCTGTTTCCTTAGATGCTAAATTCATTTGTACACCACTGTTTTCTTCATGGCATTATCTACATAAACTTGGACTAATGTGTCCCTGATTTCATTTCTATTCCTGCCGAATTTTACAAAAAAAATACACATTTTCATTTGTTGCTATAATTCAATCTCTGACATTCTTGGGGCAGCACGCAGAAACACACAAC